AGCGCTGCCCAGTCACTCCTGGCCCCGGCACCTCCCGCCGCGCCCCGCCCCGCCCTGGGCGAACCTGTGTGCCCCGCCAGCTGCACCCAGGCGTAGCGCTTCTTGAAAGGGCTTATTACCGGCAGGTTCACCATGGTCCGGATCTTCTGCCAGTGGCTTTTCTGAAAGCGACACGGTAAAGGTCTGCAAGTCGGCGTTTCAGCAGTACATAAGTCCTTCCTCCTCTGGAACATGGTGTCGCCCACCATCGACCTACCGGATCAGCTAGGGCCGGATGGTTGATTGATTGATTCATTCATTCATTCACTCTGGGAGGGTTTATTGTGCGCCTGGGTGGCGTGCACTGAGACAGGCACAGTGGGGTGATTTTAGCGTCACTTGGTGTCAGAAGACCTGGGTTTGCACCCCAGCTCCACCACTCAAGAACTGCGTGGGCAGGTTACTTTACTGCTCTGTCGAGGTTTTTGGACTATTGTGAGCACCAGAATCACCAGATAGATAGTCACCCTTATTAAAAATTGCAGATTCTGGCTGGGTGCGATGGCTCACACCTGTAATCCCAACACTTTGGGAGACCAAAGTGGGAGGACTGCTTGAGCTCAGGAGTTTGAGACCAGCCTGGACAACATCGCAAGACCTCATTTCTACAAAAAAAATTTTTTTAAATCACCAGGCGTGGTGGCACACAACTGTAGTCCCAACTACTTGGGAATCTGAGCTCAAGTGTTTGAGGATCACTTGAGCCCAGGAGGTCAAGGCTGTGGTGAGGCGTGATCATGCCACTGCACTCCAGCCTGAGTGACAGACCCCAATTCAAAAAAAATAATTTTCAGTTACTCAGATCTACTGCAGGGAAATTCTGATTAGGTCTAGGGTGGGGCAAAAAATTTGCATTTCCAGAGATTTGGGGGCCTCTAGAGATTTGGGGGCCTGAGAAACAAGCCTCTGTGTTTCAGTTTCTTCATCCATAAAAAGGGGAAATAACTACCCTTACTGAGCTGTGAGCGGTAAAGGAGACCTGAGTGTGACAGGCGCTCAGCTGCTCCTCCCAGTCCTTGAATGAGGCTGAAGCTGGGCACATCTGGATGACTGATTCATACACTTGAGACCTCAGTTCCTCTCATTTAGAGAGACAAACAGAAACAGACCTTTGCGCAGGCCCAGGGCCAAGAGGCCAGCCCGGCAGGGCCTGGAGAAAGAATGGCTTGGGGTTCCCCAAGAGCCTCTTGCCATTTCTGGACTCTGCATTCCTCCATAGTTGGCAAGGCCCCAGGTACCCTTGGTTTTTATCTGGACCCAGAAACCTAAGCCCTGAAAATGGGATGCAGACCTGAGGGCTTGTCATCTTAGACAAATCTGGGAAGGAAATGCAGGATTGATTTTTTCTCATGGCCATTGCTTCTGTCCGCCACCTAACCTGAGAGCACCTCACACTCTGGCCCTTTCCTCTTCCCACCCAAATTCAGCAGTTGTGTCCACTCTCTGAAGTGCATGGGTTTGTTCATCTGAATTGTGCATCTGGGGCCTCCTCCCAGGGGTGTTTGCATTTTAGAGGAGTTACACAAGTGTGCCCCCACAGGACTGGAGCCCAAGCACCAGCCTCCCTGACAAGAGCGTGTTCTTAGAGGGAGAGGGAGAATTGAGGAGGTGGCCTACGTAGGGGAAGGCTGCTGACCATAAAGCCCTTTCCCAAGGGAGGAGTTGGCGGTTATGACAGAGCACTGGGTGGGGAGTCAGCAGGTGGTCCCAGTCCTGGTTGTGTCACTTTCTAGCTGAGTGAACCCAAGCAAGGACTGTCATCTGTGTGGGCCTGTTTTCTCTGGGAGGACATAGCTGCCATGACAAGGGAACCATTTACTGATTGCCTATTGCATGCCAGGCCCTTGTTCATTTTCTATCAGACAGCATTGCTCCTGTTTTCCTACCAAAGTCCCTGCATGGCACACTAGGGTGTGATCTGGGGGTGTAGCCAGAAGCAGCCCACTAAAAGCATGACATCACTTTCAAAACTCCCTTTTAAAATCTTTAAATACATACAAGGTTTGCATTCTGCTGCATAATAAATCCAAGTTTTATTATAAAACTCCCCACCTCCAAATCCTCAAGTAAAATTCCAGGAGGATGTCTGTATCTGCAGCAGTGCCATCCTATACCCTCTGTTCCCCCACCCACTTCCAGGCGCATGACAGCAATGCAGATGCACAGCAAGTGCACGAGGTGCGATTATTATTCCCATTTTACAGAAGGAAATCAAGGCTCAGAGGAGTTAGCATCCCCTCACTCCCTGCCTCCAGCTTCCCAGTCTTTGGCCAAAGCGCTCTACCAGCTCAACTCCCTCCCTATGTTCCAGTTTGCTCCAGCAGTTTCCAAAATGGATGCTCCCATCCTGCCTCCCTTTGGGGGTTAAATGAAATGGTGCATGAGAATGCACCTTGTACAAGGTGATTTGCAGCCATGAATTGGTGTGAGCATTTGGGCCTCTGGAGAAATACTGAGATCTGCCTGGGGAACCCTCTCTGGTGGCTGGACACCTTCACCTTTATCCAAAGGAATGGCTTTAATGGCAGGGGTTTCAGGTAGCTTTAGGGGTCTACTAGAAGAATCTGGGGGCTAGTGGAACCAGAAAGGACTTGTGAGAGGATCCATCTCCTTCTGTAGCTACCCCAGTGGAAGAGGGAACTAGTGTTGGGTGAGGTAGCACCATCCTTCCTTCTGGAATCATGTGGAAGCAGTGAGGAGGGCTGGAAGGTGAGCCTGGTAGAAGAGGATGTGGTATGATGTCTGATATGTGACAACAGCATGGACTTGCTCCCAAGCTGAAGTAGAAGGGGACCATCACCCGTTCTTACCACCCTGGCTTTGTGTATCTCATATGAGCCAAGAGCAGTAGCAACTAAAACTGGTTCTAGCAGCAGGTTACAAAGAGCTTTCACACCCGTATCTCATTTGAGTCCTCTTACCACCTCCCGAGGTTGCTATGACAGGACTTAGCTTCCCTGCCAGGGCTGGACATGGTCAAGCCTGGAAGGAGTTGATGTGAGTGTCATTTACCATCTTAGGGAGGTAACCTCCCCCAGAGAACATAATGCACTTAAAAATGAATGTACTCAAAAAGGCTCCTGGAGAATCGTTCTTTGGTGGGTGGGTGGGGATTTTGGCACATGAACAACAGCAGGGAAGATATTTTTGAGCAGGTGAGACTTTTATTGTATGCATAGAAGAAAGCAGATTTATTGTGTTTCAGAGAAATCTAGCTGCCAAGGGGGCAAAGCCACATCCTCTGGCCCATCCTTCCCTCCATGAAGGTGCCTTCTCTGGGAAACCAATATGCAGCCAGAGGTTACCTGGGCATCTTGGGGCAAAAACCAGGCGAGCTGACTGTGTGGGTCTCTGGTGAAGTATCAGGACGACCCTCTGATTATTCCTTACTCCTAGCGCTGAACAGGGTGCATCTTCCCTGGGCAGGGATTGGCTGGATATTAGCCTCAGACCCTCCTTTGTCAAAGCACCACTTGGAAGCCTTGAAGACACCTGTTCCTTACATCACACTGGATGCCCAACGAACCTCCTGCCATAGCAGACCGAACGATGGTACTCTGCTCCCCACCTCTGGCCATCCAGCCTGGCTGAAGCTCTCCACCAGCCCAGCACCCTCCCCATGTTCCAAATGCCCTATCAAACTAGCACTCCCTGTGGTGGTGGTGGGGGTAAGAGCAATCAATTTAAATTTATAAAATGATTTGCACTAAGGTATAAGTGACCCACGACTTCACCTTCCCATGGGCATTTGCTCTTTAAAAAGGAAGTCTGTTAACCTAAATTCTGCTCTATAATTAGTGGAAAGTGGTGTGTGGGAATTCTCAGTCCAGGAGGGGACGGCATCCAGGTCTCCTTACCTATCCTGAAGCACTGAGAGAAGAAAACCAGATGAGCGCGAGCCAAGTACCCTCTCTTCTGTTAGAGCAACACCCTACAGTTGTTTCAGGAGACAGGCAAGACCTTAGAGTCAGGACAGCTGCCCTTGGGGAAGGCCTCCAACTCCTGTCCCGGCTTGTTGGGGTTTCCCTGCCCATGGCTTTTCCTTTTATCAGAGGAAAGCCCCTGGAGGGAGCCAGCCCGCCCTGTCCCAACTACCCTGATCTGGGCTGGCCCTCCAAGGGTCCTGGGGGCGAAGGGAAAGGATGCATGTCCCAGGCAGATGCTGGCAGAGCCGGCCCAGGCCTCGGTCTGCCCAGGCCCGAGTGCAAGGTCTGGCAAGCTAGGAGCCCTGGATCTGGCCCCAGCGCCCTTCTCAGTTGCATCCTTCCCTGTCCGCGGGACGGGCTTGCTTCCTGCCTGGGGAAGCCCTCAAGGCGGTCTGGGCGGGCACGCCGCGCCGCTTCGGGACCCGCGGCAAGGCAAAGTCCGCGCCGGGCCCTTCCACGCGGACCAGGCAGCCTCTGCCTCTGTCAACAGCCCCTGGCTTATCTGCGCCGCTGTGGCTGTTTGCCTTCGGGGAGGCCCCGGCGGGCTGGGGGTTGGGAAGGCCTGGAAGACGCAGCCTTGGAGCTGGAAGGTCCCTCGACAGCCATCTGCACCAGCTCCTGGCAGCCGCGGGAGGCCGCGAGGCCCAGGGTGGAACAGGCCGACCGCGGACGCCCAGGACTCGGCTGTGGCTGGTCCTGAGTCTTGACCTCGGTGGCGCTGTCTACACTGCACTCAGGCTCGGGCCGCGGGACCTGGTCCTCGCGCAGTCCCTCCCCAGGCACTTCGCCGGGTCCCTGCGGGCGGAAGAGGGAAGCGGGGCGTGCCCGCGCCCTCGGTGCCCCCACTCGCCGCGCCCTTTCGCCCGCGCGTCGGAGATGTGAGCGGGGGAGCGGCCCACCCAGAGCCGCTGTTCCGGGTTCACCCACCGGGAGGAGCTCCCGGGAGGGGGGTCCTCTCACTGCCCCACATTCCACCCTGCGCCGGGCCCATCTGGGGAAAGCCCGCGCGGCACGCACCTCCCTGCGCAGCCCTGAGTTGCCCCAGCAGCGATCATGGGGCAGGGGCTACCCTGACCCGCCAGGGGAAGAGAGGGGAACGCGGCGGAAGCACGACAGCCCCCGCGCCCCGCACCTGGCGGCGGGGTGTTCCTGCTCGGGAGAGACTTTTTACCCTTTTGTGTTACTTACAAACCCCACCGCCTTCTAGGTACTGTAAATCTCGGGGGGTGGGGTCGCTGAGTCACGGAGCCGCTGCAAGTCGTTACAGTGTTTCCCCTCCTTGTCCACTCCAAGGGTGCTGCGGAGCCGGGTCCAGCAGGCCCAGGCCGCGCGCGCCCCGGCGCTCCTCCCTCCCGCCGCGTCTCAGCAACCCGGGCGCGCGTCCTCAGCTCCCACCGCCCCGTCGCCCCGACCCGGCCGCGCGGCGCCCCTCGTCCCTCCCTCGGCTTCGGGGACGCCTGCGTAACGTGGCTCTAAAGCCAGTCCTTCGCACTGACCGCGGACAGTCATTTAAGGCCTCGGTTAAAACGAGGGGGGCAAGAAGGCTGTCCCGGGAGCCGCACAGCCCCAAGGGGCGGGCGCCGGGAATAACTTAACTGCACCCTGCGCTGGGTTTTCCGAGAGCCCGGGAACACCCAGGCTATCAGAGGCAGAGACTAGCCGGCTGCTCCGCCCCCTTTCTGCCTCAGTTTACCTTCCCCGGGTCACGCTTAGGAGCAGCGCGCCCGGGAGGCCGGGGGCACCGAGAGGGAGGCTCGGGGGCGCGCGCAGGGTGGGCAGCGTCCCGCCCCACGTCCCTCCCTTCCCCGCGTCCACGCCTCGTGCGGGCGCCGGGAGCAGACGGCAGCGGCTCCGAGCAGAGCCTGGAGCGCCGCTCCACTCCCACTCAGGAGAGGGAAACCGTGGCAACGGCGGGGGCGGGGCCGCGGC